GTGAAAACACTGCACCTCAAATAGTATATGTGGTATACAAACAGCTTAGGCTTTTGCTAGTTGACCACGTGAAATGCATTTATAATATTTCGTATATGTGATCCGTGGATCTGGATCACGAAGTAGCGGAATAATTCATAATTTAAACTTTAAAAAAGTTAAGCTCCCGTAAAATAGAGGATACCAATATTACAACGTCTATAAACTAAAGTCAATGGAAAGAAAAAACATTCCAAAGAATAATAGTCGTTAAAGTTTTTGGTTTTAGAAACATAATATCCAACGACCCGTCAAACTTGCGCTAAGTTTAAAAAGAAAAGTGGGCCTTAAAATACACGCAAAACTGCCGGATTACACGAAGCAACACAATTTACAAAAAAAATTTCTTGAGAAAGCCTAGCAAATTTAATATTAAATAATGAAGTTTGAAAATACAATTATCTAATTGGAAGTATGACCGTATTCATAGTCGATGCTTAAGAATAAGTATATTGCTTAAACTATACTTATGACTCAAATGATAATGGATATTCTTAAACGAGACTTTGGCTTAAGATATGAAAAAGTATTAATTGTTTTAAGGTTGGTTGAGGCCTACCTTAAGCATGGTTTTTAGTCACTATCACAATTTTTCATTTTTAAAATTATCAAAATTAGCTTAAACAATACTATTTTTAATCATCGACTCTGAAACGGTCCTTAGTTTCTAAGAATAGCAACAAGAAAGATCAAGAGCAACTATAATAAAAAAAATTATTTTATTTTTTGATTTCATTTTGTACTCCATTGTTGTATTATCGATATAGGCGATGTAATGAATGTTGTAGATTCTAAAAATATGTAAAAGGTTTATTCAAATATCTAATAAATTATGTAGGTACCAATTTTTAATAAATCTGATTTTTATCTTGAACTATTTTTATAAACAGATGGCAGATTAAATATTAAAATGGAAGTTGCACATCCAAGTTTGTAGTGTTCCATTTTTTTCACTTTTAAAAAATACAAGTTACAAGATGAAAAATTTCAAAATATAATAACGTCATAATACACATTACACAAGTTAAGTTATTTTAAACTGTAAATGATTTCTATAGTTTTTTTTTTGCCTCTTTTAATTTTGAATTTTATACACGGAATTCACTGGTGTTATTAAAAATTAAAATATTAATAAATGTTAAGGAGCCTTACACGTTACACCTGCATATTTTTGGTAGAAAACAACCGATTCTACGCATTTAACTGCGTACTCAGTAACGAACGATAAAAAGGTATAAGGATCCGAAAATAGTTTTGAAAACCACTGATTTTGTTTTTTCAATAATAAATAATAATACATTTTAATTTTCCTTTTTAATATTATTGTAAAAATTATTTTGTTTTTTTGCGGTCGAACTTTTAAGAGGACGCAACACCCGCATGACCGATTGTGTTGTCTCCGTCTTACAAACGCTTAACATACCAAATTTACGCTCAGAAATTCAAGTTTTATGCCGTTAGCTTAAAAATTAGAGTGAATCGACCTATTATGAAACTTGATGGTACAAACATTATATGTGTTTTGTTGGAATTTTTTTTACGATAATTCATTTTTTAAGTGAGTTATGAGCATTTTTAATTTACATTTATTATACACGCTAAAACTCACTTAAAAACGGAATTATCGTAAAAAAACCAAATCGTTTCATTCATGGAATAGTCTTGTTGTTGCATAGATTCCAGCTTGCATTAGTTTTTCCGTGAATCGTGATGGCGGTGATCGATGAAAGCAGAGGCGTGACAAAAAATCGCACGTGTGGCTCGTGCGGGAAGGGAATTTCCGCCCTTGCCACACAATTTACTATTTTACCGAGAAGTATGATAAAAAGCTGATTTTTATAATAAATTAGTATTTTTTTCGTTTTGTATTTGTTTGGGCTACCGGCTATTTACTGGAATTTGTCCGGGCGACTACTCGAATAAGAAAAAATGATGTTAGCGAGTTTGGGTGGATACGGTGACCGAGTAAAGTTATAATAACAGAACGACAATGTTGTGATAATAATAATAATGTGTGTATTGCAACACTCAAAGACAGTATATATATGTATAACGGCCTGTGGAGACGTCTCTTCAAGATCTCAAACCAATACAATAATAATAATAAACATGCGCGGCGGCCGGGATGGACAATATCGGCGGCGTCGGTGACTGCAGCAGCTACGTCGACGATGTCGACGGCGGCGAAGGTGAACTATGGTGAGAAGGTGGACGGGGGGTGGCGGCGATTCTTGACGATGAATACAATATAATGGTAGCGCAAAAGGCAACAGCTCGACTATGGTCAAAACGACGTCGACGACGATAATAAAGGCGAAACGCAAGCACAAGTACTTAACGTTTATAATTTCGAGGAGTAATAGGTCCACGGGGTGATCACACCTGCAATGAAACGGCCGGACGCGACCATAGCGCACGAATAATATAACGACCGTCGACTAACACGCCGTGATAAAAAAAACACTTAAAACCGTGTTTAATATAATATACAACAAAAGCGCCACGATGTAGGTCGCTGTCTCGCAGACGGGTTGCCATACGGCGTAATAAAAGCGGCGGCAAGTTCGAACATACTCCCCCATGGCGTCACATCCCTCTTTGAATGCCGCCGATACCAATTTTATATAAATCAAAAGGCCAAAAAACCAAAATATAATAATACGAAAATTAATTAAACAAAATACAATTGAGGACTCCCTCCTTCTTAAGCCCAGGCTACGCCGCTGACAAACTATAGAAAGTACAAGACGCCAGAATAAGAAATACGTGGGTTAGATTGGGGTACAGGATGCATAATATGCATACTATAGTTACCCACGGAGTACAATATTTATTTTTTGAGACAATAATATAAAACGCAACCAGACAATTTAATAAACAAAATATAAGTATAAAAATATTAAAAGTGGCATTCGGGGATTGCCGCGATAAAGCTATTGCATATTAAATAAATAAGAAGTTGATATAATTTTAAATTTTTTTATTATTCTATTTATTCCGGAATTTGTATCATAGAAACTATAGTTTATGTTTTTATTGCTATAATATATTATATTTTATATATATTATTATAAATATATAAAATTAATAATATATTTTTATATATTATATATTTATATATATAAATTTATTGCTATAGCAACCCATAACAAAACCATTATATTTATAAGCGCTTGATGTTCATAGTCGTTGTTATTTAAAAATAAATAACTGTTATCAAAATTAAATTATAATTTAGCTATGCGTTGCTATGGTCACCAGGTTGCTATAGTATGTATAAATAAACAAAGTGGTCACGCTTTTTCGTTACGAAAAATTTTTTTTCAGTCACTACACCAGACCTGCGATAAAAGCTATGCAATAGCTTAATAAATGAACGATTAAGTCGTAATGACGGTACATAAACGTTATACGAGGCATCAAGTCTGAATGGTGCTCTGGTATACACGCCTGAACGGCTGAACATAATAATAATAGATGAACCAGTATAAATACAATGGATTATAATGTAAACAATAATAAATAAATCTAATAAGTAATATGGTTAGTATAATTATATCCATACACATAACCAATAACATCAATATAAAAATATAAACTTAGGTTACTGATTAGGTGAAAACTTCTTAAGAGACTTTACCCGAATATAATAATTTCTTCCTCGTGTCTCGTCTTAACATTATTTCGTAACGCAGTGTCGCAGTTCAATCTTATAAGCAGGGCTTGAAACCGTAAATATTTTTTCCGATTTCGATTTGGGTTTCGGTTATCGGTATTTAATTTTTCCGATTTTGATTTCGGTGTTTATTTTTTTTGATTTCGTTTTTGGTTTTGAATTTTTCTGATTTCGATTTCGGTTTTGATTACCGATATTGGTTTTTTTCGATTTTGTTTTCGGTTTCGTTATCGATTTTGGGTTTTAACGGTTTTAACCTGTATTCAAAATCGGTATCAAATATCGGTTTCAAGCCCTGCTTATAAGTAGTTACAATAAATTATTACAGTCACACGGCGTCGTTGGTAGTCAACTAAGGGCACGTCTCGTATAGTGACGGTCCTTTTATTCCCAGCCAGAACCATCCATCATGGAATGAAATACATCACGAAAATCGGTACCTATTAGAAGAGGGTGAGAACCGAAAGCATTTCAATCTTATAATTATTACTGTCGCGCGTCATGGTGGATTTTCAACTGAGGGTACGTCCCGAATCGTAACGGTCCTTTTTCCCTGGTTAGAACCACCCTTCATGGACTGGCATACGACGAAAATCAGAACCTTTATGAGGAGAGGGTGAGAGGGTGAGATTGTGAAAACCAAAAAACGATGTCTCGATTTGACGACACACGTCGGGTGATTTATAGACAGTGTTTCAGAGCATATGTGCCTCTGACTGCCTACCTTCAACGCCGCACGACCGTCGTTTACTGTCGAAATGTACCAACAAAATATGAATAGTGATAATATTATGAGATAACAAAAACTAATCGACGACGGTGGTGATGCACATTCAAAATGTTTTACCTGAAAACTTACGGTTCCTTTTCGTACAACCAGAACACATAATATTATACTAAACATACAGTATACACATTACACATAATATATTATATTTTTAAATTTTGACCTCCCTAAGTCTACTACGGGGATTTCTATGAACGTTTTTATATTAAATTAGAAAACCATGAAAATCCTTTAATAAAAGGATTACAGTATATATTATTAAGTTAATAATATTAACTATGAATTAAATTCTTTATTTTGCATACCTACCTACACAAATAAATATAATAATTATTATATTATTATCTATCGAGTTATTGAAATAATTAAAATATAAATTTGTATGTGTTTATTATATTTTTAAAATGTATATATTATGTAGGTGGTACATGTTTTGTACAACGATTACATACATATTCTTCGTATGCGTCAGTCATATTTTTATCAACAACACCGCAATTATATCGCCTCTGATGTACTTACTCTCTTCCTCTCGGCCGGCGGCTTGAGAACAACGGACTTGAGCATAGCAGTCGTTATCGGGATCTGGTTGTACACTTTCTCTACTTTCGGTGTGATCGCCGAGGAAGAGCTTGCAGATTCGTCAGAACCCGTCACCTTCAATCCCGGGTTTTTCAGAGTCATAGTGTTTGGTTTCGGAAAAAATGCACTAGGCTCCGGGAGTATGGGCGGCGGTGGCCGAAAATATTCATTAGGCGCCGGGGGTGCGGGTGGCGGTGACGGCGGACGAAACTGTGTCATCGGGGGTAGAAAATACTGAGCCGGTGGTCTCGGCACTGGTGGCATATCGTAATAAGATGAAGCTGCATCGAATGCAGCTGGTTCACCGTAACAGCGGTTATCTGAAGGAAACATTCCAGTGGACCCGAAGTATTGCAGTCTTGTCCACGACTCCATCGAACGGTTTGAATGGTCCATACCGATGACGTGTGAAGTATTTTTCATTACATCTCCTGCACACGCATATACGATGCGTACACATATATACAAATTTGTTTAGTAAAAATTATAAGATTGATTTCTTGTATAGGTACTTCAAAAAGTTGTACCTACAGGTAATAGGTATAGACGATAAATATTGTATATATTACTTTCTAGGGTTCTGATCCTCGTCTTTATTGAGTCATATTTGCGTATCGGCTTTTCCACTTTCCCTACAAACAAACGAGCATAAAATATTATATTATAATTTCATACCTACGTGATTTTTATAACAAATTACTAATTACTTTCGAATGAGATAAATTTATTGTCTAGCTCGTGGAATATTGTATTTAATAAGCCATAACAGTTTTTAATAGTTTCAACGTCGCTCCCGATAGTCATGAGTTCACAGTCGATTTTATCCTTTAACGACTGCTGGTAATTTGACAATTTATCTACCTTGCCCGTTAAATCCTGCAAAGATGACAGGGACAATTTACTACACGTGTGCAGGTCAGGCCATCTTAGATAACAAAAAATCTTCAAAATGACGCAACTCAGTGGTGGATTTACGTATGAGGGGGGGTAGGGGCTAGGTAGATGATACACAAACCGTTCCGCATATTTCATTTTTTTTTTATTATAAATTACTTAGAGTAGATAATTACTTATCAGTCATCATTTAGAAGTTGTCGGAGTCGTGCCAAGGGGGTTGCAAACGGTGGCAAGTGCTCTATAGGATGGAAAAAGTTGTAACATTTGAAAGGGCGGCAAATGTTTAAATAAGTATATTTAATAGGGGTACCAAATATGAAATATTATTTCCCTGGCACCAATGAAAGTTAGCACGGCACAGGAAATTGTAGAACTTGAACTTATTAATTGTAGACTACTATCGAAAAATAGGTTAAATTTGTTTTTACCTCGAAATTGTTCATGATAAGTACATAAGGAGCATTATTATAAACGCATAGCGCCCACCATAAAAAAATCATAGATTAACCACCGACGCAACTGAAATCAAAGTGAAAATTATTCTTTACTTTGGTAATAAATTATAATATAGGTATTCCCGTCCATTACGATATAAAAATATATTTTAATCAATATTGGTAATATATATAGGTAGGTTACCTGTAGATCCCGAGCCTTTTGTTTTTCATCAGCGCGTCTGATCATTTCTATAAAATAATATAATATTGATTATTTAAGATATTTATATAGTATATTATATTTGTATGGTTAATGTGGTAATTAATATTCGATATTATTAAAAATGTACCTATATTATCCATCATATTATTATGAAACAAGAAAACCTACCTTCCAATTCCGTCAACCTATTTTTCAAATTCAGATTTATTTCCTTCATTTTTTGAAACTCTTCTTTGTCAATACTACTGGATACGGTAACTACAGGCTGTAAATTGACTTGAACACCTGAGTTGATAGATTTCTCACTAAGACTTACCTAAAACGTAAGAATAATCCCATAGGTAATATTATTATTTTGTGTTAGGTACATCGCATAGATGCATTATACAACACAGCTATGTCACTATATTATTAATATAAGCCGTAATTTGTTTTTTATTTTTAGTAGGTACCAGCATATTGAATTTCCTGGATTCCCCTTTCGTAATATTCCTTAATACTCTACGATCAACACATTTCACCATTTTCTTTGGCATGCCATTCCGTAAAACATGATACGATTCAATCAAATGACTTCTGTTTAAAAATACTAACACTCCGACAACACCAACACGTATAACTCCGATGATTAAACCCATAGGTAAACTTTACAAATGCTTATGAAGTTATAACTGAATATTATTATTTATTACACTTAGGCAAGCCGTTGAAGGAACATTAATTTAAGATAAAAACAACGAATGACAATAATATTGTTTACTTTACAGTTTACACATTACGTTGTCATGTTTATTCTTATTCGAATTGCAAAACAAAACAAAAAAATTATTTTTCTTATTTATCTATGTCAGAAGATACATATTATCAAACAAGTTTTTGTTAATAAGTACCTAACCGTAATAAATTAATGTTGATAAAATATTTTTCTATTTATCAATACCTATATTCGAAAAAAAAGGTCTTCAAGTGGATACCTACCACTCTCCTGCACCTACATTAGGTGACGTGTACTCGTGTGGGTCACTCGTATAAGTTCCTTTAATGGATGTGTTATAATAACGGAAAAATACGGTAATTATAAAAATGACTCCTGTCGATAGGTATATTAAAATCGGATGTTAAAGTTAAGTAGGTATCTGTATGATTCTCTACACTTATAAGTGTTGGAGAATACCAGCTGATGCAAAAGAAATACTAAAGTCACGTTATTACCTTCATCCGGGTGTTCAGAAGGCTCTCGAGATCGTGTATTCTAGAATAATTTGATCAAACACAACAATATAATTTTATGCAAAATGCACGTACCTATTATAATGTAATATCCGCAATCAATATAAAATAATAAATATTATATTAAATGACTCGCAACTGTCTCTAGGTTATGCTGTAGCAGTTTTAGGTGACACAAAGTAATACTTCAAAATACACAAATCGAAATAATGAACACTGATTATTGCTCGTCACTCATAAGGAGTCCATTTGTCACTCATAGGATTCGGTATCGAGAGGTTGTTACTCATGTGGCTGATTCTCATGACTGATTTAAGGGACGACTAGAAGTGCACGGTGTAGCTTTCCCAATTTAAACTAGAATTTTAACTAGATATTATTGTAGCGTATTTTCAACATTTTATTAGATAAAATTCCTCGTGGCCCACATTACGATGCACTATCCAACACCTAACACCTATAATAGCAACCAATAAACAAAAAAAAAAAATAATAATACTAATTTCTACTATTACTATTAAAATCTGCAAAAAAAAAAAAAAAGAAAATAACATCGTCGTAAAATGTTCCCAAAATAATTAGGTATCAACAAAAAATTTGTGATATCCCAACTAAAACACTCCATGGAGTATCCGTGTAAAAAAACGGTTCGAAAAGCTGTGATATAATTTTATAGGTAGCTAAGTCTTTGAACTTTGGATATCATTTATGTTAAAATAATCTGCTAAAAAATTGATAATAAAATCAAGCGAAGCTCAATTTTTTAGCAAATTATTTTATCATAAATTAATATTTTTGTTGGGATAATTTATTATTTGGAATATCTGTAATTCTTTAGAGCTCCATGTATATAAATTAGGTAGGTAGGTATATGTATATTTTTTGCCACCAGTAACATTTGTGAATCGTTTTCCGGTAAGGTATACCTACCTTGCACGCAATCGCTATTATTATAAATCAGGAATGTTTTTTTAAAAATAATTTTCACTTTTAAGGACCAATACATAAATAATAAAACTTGGGCAATACGAATGCAGGGTGAAGCGATTAGAAAATGATAGTGAAATAGTGCAATCAACAGAGAAACAATAATTAGACATTGGACGGCATTTGGAAACAGTTATCGGGTTATGTTTTTTTAAATATTAGGTATCGTTTATTTTTAATGCCGTCTGATTGTGTGAGACACTGAGACGGATAGGTACACTATAATTCTGAAATTATATATCTAATGCTATAAAAATATAAAATTATAAAGACCGCGATGCTCTGCAAATCTACGAGTATATAAAATACAATTTATTATCTTAAGTCCGAAGTTTGTGGGGTAGGCATCTAGACTTGGATTTCAGTTGTGTAGGCAACCAGACTTGCACCCAAGTACTCAACGATGAGATTTATAACAAGGAAGATTATGAAAAGGATACATGAGACACTCTGAGAGCTAAGAAGAAAAAGTAAATAGTTTTTTCTTGTGAAAAGGGAAGATGTAAATAATTAGTTATCAGGGGTGTGGGGGGGGATATCTGCGTGAACGTGACGATCTTATGTTGCGATGATCACAGTGACAGTGGAGTCAATGCGGAGAGCGAAATCCATCTGGACGATTTGGCGGCCAATTACATACGCACTGGTTGCTGGTGGACTTACACTTGCGGAGGGTGAGACACTTGCCTGATATCGTCCAAAACAACAGGTGACTGTAGACGGACGCTCGTATTATACACTAATCTAATATGTACCTGGAGTGACTTATTATAAACAGTTATAAAATGGTGTTTGTTAAAATATTTTTCAAATTATTTATAAATTTATGTTGAAAATCAGCATGGACAAGTGGGCAGTTACTTTGCATATATTTCAGAACTATCAATACCACGAAATAAAAATTTTTTGAATTGTTATTTGTGTCATTTTAGAGTCTTCAACCAAATTATACTTATACTTCTATATATTTGACTTCACGCACAAGATATATTATATAATAATGGATGATAACACAAATCATGCTGTTATCATACAACAAACTTAATGGATAAATACATTTACTGGTCCACCCTCGACGAGCAAAATTTTTTTTTTGTAAATCAGTTTATTTTGTATCGAACTCCACTATAATAATAAGTTAAAAATATAAAATTTCACTGTGACACACTAAAAGCATTAACTGCTCTTAGTAAGTTTACACATAGTTAATTGTGTGGACCTGGGTAAAAGCCCTTGCACACAAATAAATAAGACATATAGTCACATAGACGATAGACGACACGTCATCCCGCGAGTAATACGATACTATTCTTATGGCAATAATTCGGTAGGAATTTTATTCGCTATTGTTTGTTCTCGGCGAACGGTCTGAAGTAGCTTTAAACGTCAACCTCTACTATATATAGACAAACCAAAATAATACTATAAATGTAATAGCGTTTTGTGTATTAAAACTGTTTTCTATAACATAATAGGGTAACGGGCGGGTTTTATTAGAAATATACCACGTGGTACACTTTTATAAATTTATAACAATGATAATAAATTATTAGATACATTTTATTATTATAATATAGTAATATTGCACATTGTACTCAACGAGATCATTATATATATAATATGGTTAATAATGAATAATATTATCTATTCGATAATAGAAAAATTACACGTCGTGAGAGGTTTATTATTATCTACACTCTACATAATATTATGATGTCTTATACACACAGGAGGGATCTATAAATCTGAAATTGAGGGAAGGGTAACATTTTTTCAGGAAAACATACTTTTATATTTTTACATCGCTTACGGTACCTTCATATTTTATGAGATAAAAACTCATCCTTACGAATAATTATTGTTTTTAAACATAATTACAATCAAATCGCTGATGATGATATCTCTAATAGCTAAACGTGACTATATGTATAAGATAAATAATAATATTATGTACAGCGTGTTTAAAAAAAATTACTATAATGATATTTGTATGAAAAAAAAACCGTCTATGTATATTTATAGGTTCGTGTATAATTAATTAAATAAAATTAAGTTTATGAAAAATATACAAAAATAAGATAAGTCACATAAATTAGGGTTAAAAGTAATATGAATATCAGCCATATTTACTGTATTATATTATGTTATTTAATTATTATATCCAATTAATCACTGGAGTAAAAATTGTAGAATGCCTTATTTCGATTTGTGGCGTTCTAGCTCTAAATAAAAACTCATTTTGAGTGATATGTTGAGTGTTAATATTGCGTATTAGTGTTGTGGAGATATTGCATTTCATAATTGTGGTATTGCAGCCGTAAATGAAAAACGTCAATCTTGTATTTTCAAAACGAAATTTTTTACTGCCATGGTAATAAATACATTGTACCTAATTAATAAGATTTGATTCAAATATTAACATTTTTATTTATATTTTAAAATTGTGGATTTTAAGACTCATGGACGATTTTTATATAAATTATAAATAAATACATCATTTATGATATAATATTTCCAAATAGGGGAAATTGAATAAACATTAATTGATTACACACACCTAACAATTATTAATATATTACATCAACATTTTTTTCCTTTTTTTTTCACGTTGCAACTATGTTGTGTTATAGTCATTCAAAAATTTACATTATAAATAGTAATATAAATTTTAAATTTTAAAAATAAAAATACAACAATTTTCACTTGATCACTTATTGAACGACGACGATGACGTATAATAAGTTATTATAAATTTTATAATAATTATGTACATAGTGTTACTGCTGCAGAGAACTCCCTCTTCTATATAGTTGTAGTTGTGGAGTGTACCTCGTCATTGAGGTCAATGTATAATGAATGTGTTAAATTTGATTTCAAAGACGAATCATTGCAAACATAATATTATAATTATTATTAATTATAACTAACTTTAGTCCATATTGTTTATTTTATTTATCTTATATAATATATTATTTTCGTAAAAATTTGTAGTGCGCATATAATTATGTGTACGATTTTTAATATAGGTCCCTACATGGGTACATAGTGTGTAGTAATGTAATAAGTAATTTACTTGTACCTATTTAATAATACATTATCAATTGTTATTCAATTTTGTACCAATAATCGTATATTATAATATATTATACTAAATATAGCTTATAATAAAATCTAATATACACAATTTAATTAAATTTTTTCGATTCTTCATTTGATTTAATTTTTGGTGAAGATTACTTTCAAACAATAATTGTACCAATAATTATTATTGGTACCTATATTCACAATTGTTTTCGTACAGATTGAACCTCGCAAATCCTAAGAACGGCTCTGAATAAAATTACTACCTATGAGTGTCACTATAATGTCTGGTATCCAACTTGTGTGCACTGCGGGTCACAAGGACATTTTTTCTAGATTT